TGACTGTATTTATATATTTATGTTGGCCCGGAGATTTGCACGCTGTTCAGATCAAGTCAAATAATGCTCTTTAAGGCGTCTGTACGTTAACTGTACCCAACAAGCGTACAATGCCATCCCCTTTAATTATAATAATGTATTTAGCTATGTTTAAATTGCCAAGGTACGGTAGTGCATCTGAAATGTTTTTGTTAACACGTACGGGCGGGTTTGCTGCTGTACACAGAAAGAGAATTTCTTCTTTAACAGCATTATAGCTGCTATAGCTCGCAGTCGCGACAAGTCCATGCTGCATTGGATTTCAATGATTAATAATTAAGTATACCTATTTATTGTATGTAAGAAGTTATGTGTAACATTTAATTCTAATTTAACATTATTGTAATTCTGTGGATTTGTTATGTCTAACATAAATGCTTATTATTATTATTGTACATTCAGATTAGTTGAAAAGCGCGCCAAGACGCTTGAGGATGTCATTTTACTCCGTCTACAAAAAACACAGACTATAGATTATGTAGTTTCAACTTCTGAATATATTGACAGGATACATATACACTTCATTTTAATTCTCAGCTAGAAATAAACAATTAAAAATAGTTTGCTGATAAGCGAAAGTTTTTATAACATATTTTCACTTGTTAAGTAGGTTTTAAGCTTACACGGGGTAACACAAAATTAGCTTAGCTATTGTTACTGTAGAATGTTTAAAATAAATAGAAATCAACTTATTTGCAACACGCATGCTTAAATTATTTTTTTCATTTATTACGTTTATTTGTTGTTATAGGTGACTTGTAGGTGACTCGGAATTAGTAGAGGTGAAACTGAAGAGTCTAGAACACTGCCGTAAAATTGCCTGCTTATCAGTATTCTAAAAGATTTATCATTAACAGTGTGCGAGGGAATTGCACGATTTAATTCCGCCTTTCCGTCATTGGGGGACTGGACGTAGGCTGCGATTCTACCACTATGTTGTGACTATTCCAAGGATTCCCACGAACGGCTATGGAGAGTATTTCCCTGTTTTTATACTCGTTCCGTGAACGATATAACTTGGGCCTTGAAAACAAGGCGAGAGTGAATATGCATTATTTAAGTGCGCATGTTCCATCATCGACCTCATCGTCACTTTCCATCAAGTGAGATGGAGGACAAATGCGCAATTAATTTTAATTTAAAAAAACTATAGAAACGTTTCATTACAAAAAATATCCAAAAAATGTTGAAACTAAACTGAATACGTATTTATTAGTATTCTATTTATCAAGCGACTAATAACATTATGCGTTATATAAGCAGTAAACAGACCCTCATCTAGTAAGCTCTTCCTAATAAAGTTACTTATCCAATTTATATTCATCTCGCTGAATATGCAACGTTCTTGTCTGGTGTAATTCTCGTTGAACAAGATAAATCGTTAATCATAATTAGACACTACGAAATACAACGAAGCAAGACATTACCAGCCTCAGGGGCACGATGTCCAAAGGCGACACTCGATAAAACTTTGTACCTTTAGAGCGATGGCACACGGCGACTTATAGCACCGATGCAGTCGCTAATCGTGTACCTTTACACATGCGCAATTTTAAACAGCGATGCAAACACGATGCAAGCGCGCGACTGCATCGATACAAACGCGCTATTATATCGTTACATATGGGATGCTGTCGTGAGTTTGCATCGATGCAATCGCGCCTTTCACGAACGCACGTTTGCATCGCCGTGTGTAACCACTCTTAACTAAATGAAATGACATCTTTAAAGATATCAAATTACATTTTTATTATGCTAAATAACACAGAGCTGTCAGTGTCAATGACGTGAAGAGTGTATTATAGTTTGCAAACAATTGAATTATATTAGATCAAACTAAATTTTCCTTAAGAATTGACTATGAAAATTTTAATTTCTCGAGACGCTGATGGTGTCGTAACTTAATAAAACAAAAAAATTATATTCATACCACGAATTCCATGGGATCACATTCGATTCTCTTCATTCTACTAATATCGGTAAAATTAAGTTTGGAACTTTATAATAAGGATTACTGCCACTCTCGCTCACTGAATGGAACTACAATGGTCTTGGTTCGCTGTATTAATCAATAAGTCTCATTGCTGCGCGGGGGTCTCTTCTAATGAGAGGATTTACGTCGACGATGAGCTCACGAGGGTTGAGGTCTAGGATTTTTTTATTTTTTCGGACATACATGTTTCATGTCGATGGTTTTCTTCACCCTGAATGAAAATGATACTACCTAATTAGTAAAGAAATATCTTAACGATTATCATTTTCAGATTCTTTGAATTTTATTCTTTTGATAATTTGGAACAGTTCCACCCTCAAAGGTCACAAGATGATATATTTTTTATCGATATGCCTGTACATAACAGTTGCAATGCCCCTCAGAGCTTTAATCACAAAGATCTAATGAATATAAAGTTGACAAGTCCCATTTGCCTGTAGTTTCACCTGTACCCTTACTCTTGAAACCAAAACGTAGATGCTCTTATAACTTCTTGATGGCAAAATTAGGTATGGTGCCTGTACTTCCTGGACAAAAGAAGGGTTAATCCTTCTAAAAATGCGTTTCGATCCATGAAACGGCTCATGAAGCGTGAAATCACTCTGAAACATCAGAAGAAGAATAAAAAATATACCATACTAAGAATAACAGTCGTTTAATGGATCTTTAATGACAAAAAATAAGTGCACTATTGACCTCCATCTCTCGTGGTGGAAAGTGACGATTGGTTAGGAACACGCACACTTACATAATCCCTATTCACTCTTTCCTTGAAAAGGACCAAGTTATAGCGTTCGGGAAATAAGTTTGCAAGCAAGAAATACATCTTCAGAGCCGTAAGCCTTGTATTATGGAAGCGTAATTACTCGTGCAAATCCATAGCTTAGGGATGGAACGCCAGCCATTACCTGGTTTCCCGAAGAGAAGGTATGGCAAAATTGTTTCATGCAATTCCGTCGCACATTCTCCATGGTAATCAAGGTCTTAAAATGTCTATTGTTTTAGTACAGAGAAAACAATCTCGACCCACGAGATTTAAATTCAATGATGCTTACAATAAAAACCAAAAGTTCAAAGTATCAAGTTAATGTGATGAAGTCTGTACCAGAATTTGTTTGGTGTTGTTCATAGTTACTTGACCAAACGTCATATGATCATTGTGCCAGATCATGTTCGAAATCATGCCCCGTACCGTCACTATAATAGTTCCAGTAGTTGGCAAAAAAGAAATGTGAAATTTCCAAGATGAAAGTCGGAAAAATAATTTAATGGCTCGCTTGTGCTAATTAGTACATACCGACATGACATCAAAAGAAATGTGGAGCGCATTCTTTTCATTTTTTACCATTAAATGATTTTTGATTGACTATTGTTTTTGTCACAATAAAGGTAGTTTAACGTATAGCACTCTGAGTTTTATGCGGAAGGCTCCTTGCTTAACTCCTGGTAGAAACAATTTAGATAACGATCTTACCTAAGTTGGTTTAGGTCTGATTTATTTGAATAATATTATGTTGTTTGGAAACTATTATCCTTATACTAGGAATTATTATATAGTATTTATTTATTTAGAGGAATTCAAAGGGTCGTACATACAGGAAAATAAACACGCTATCTATTCTTATAATAATTGAAAGCATTCCTTAAATTATAAATGAAGCGCTGTTTTTCTTATTGTTAAACGACTACAAAACTTTGTATTTTACGCGATAACGCGGTATTTGTGAACCGATTTCGATGATTCTTGTTTTGTTGGAAAGAGGGTACCTCAGTATTAGTCCCATTTAAATTTGAAGTAAATATTCCTCATTTAAGGGTTGCAAACTAAGGTATAAATATGGTTTCGCGCTTTTTCCGGTAACCGATTTCAATAAAACTTGGCAAATAGATGTAATTCCATGAACTCTTGAGGTCAGTGTTTTCTTATAAAAAAGTTACAATTATCTTCTTTTGTGGTTCTGCGTCCTCAAAACTACACAATTCAATATTTTTCCCGTAGACTTAACATGACAACATTTTTCCTGAATTATCTGTATATATTGCCATTTCATAGATTGTGCGATTTGAGAGGCTGCTAGGTACGCTTCGCTTACTGTGCTTCGATAAAGTGAAAGTTTTATCTTCAACTACTGTACTTATCCTTAAACAGCAGTAGAATGTGAAAGCGTTCGTCCAGGGAATGACTGCCACCTCACCTATTTCAGCTGCCAAACGGTAATATGAGCATTACTGCGTTCCAGTTTTAGGTTACTGTTGAAATTATAGGCACATGGGACTTGTCAACGTATCTCTCATGATGACGGACGCATTGGCAGTCCCCTCAGATATTTGCGATTTAGAGCTCTGAGTTGTCACTCTATCGTCAAACGCACAACTTATTCGTCCCGTCACTTGCTATCATAAAAAGTACAATCAAAATATTGCAATATTTATTATGGTTTCACTGACTAGTTTCAAATCACTGGCCTGTCCACAATGCCCGTATTTACACAACAGATTATCAGACAGATAACTGTCTTAAAATTCTATTCGTTTTCGTGATAACCTACTTCCTAGTATTAGCCAAGAATGTCCGTATGAAAGTCGGATCAAATTTGTCACACTTGAACAAGCTCATTTAGTCATTTGTGTATAATGAGTGAGCACTAATTAACTTGACGTAGACGCTGTTATTTAAATCAATTGCTTGTTTATTCTAGAACTAAGATTGTGAATAAGCTTATCGATAATTTTCAATTTTGTTAGAAATAACGTTTCTTACACTGTTTGTTATGATGGCAAAGGGCAAATTAGAATTTTAGCCTATTTTAATACTTAATACAATTCTTGTTATTTATAAATTATATCACAAATTTGTCGGTAAAGAATGCATGAAAATTAAACGGTTTCATATCTGAAATTACCAAAAAGCTTTACACTGAAATGCCAATTTATTTATACATTCAATTTATAATAATTAATAATTTACCTTTAGCAGTTCTGCCTTCAAACACTTCTAAGTCCAACGCATCTTGCCTATCCTGCGCTTTCCATATCCTGAAGGTGTAATCATTCCAGTCCAAACTGAAAGCGTTGTTGCTAAGAAGCCTCGAGAGCAGACCCTCATTCGATCTGGCCTGCCTCGTACCGATGGGTTCTATCGTTAGCACGTCGAAAATTCTCATAGTCTTCTGCTGCCTTATACTTCTCACAAAATCTTTCGCCATATCTTCTATACACGTTGCATTGTCACTACATTTCAAGTCTATTACATCCGCTCTAGCATGTCCCAGTAGTGCCGCAGCGATCAAAAATGCCGTAGCAGCCATTTTGAACACTATGTCTTTAGCACAAACACTAAACACTCTACGTTTGTCACCAATCCATTTGTAGGTCACGCCTTCAGGTTCCGAACCACCTTCATCGGTGGCTAGTCCGTCAATGGGTCCCTGTATGCACTGTGGATGATTTTTATCCATTGTCACGCTGCACTGATTCCGCCTACCTTTGTGTGCAATATTTTTTTCCTCACTTCTACGTGTGTATGTCCAAGTATGTTCTATTTTATTTGCCATTTGCTTTTTGTACTATTTGAGTTGCAAGCGACTATTTTCCGTCCAGAGTCTATAATACGGTGCAATTTTGTAAATTTTATTTGCAAATTAACTCAGGAAAAAATTTGCTTCGCGTCACGCACGTTTACGGTTTGGTTGATAGGTTTGGTAAAATGATATTTACTTTCAAATGTGCAGTTTGCACGAACAGTATTTGAAAATAAGAGTATTTACATATGCGCACGCTAAGCATTTGCATTAGTCGCAGAAAAGGAAGGAAACGACATCTTATTACAGACAGACAAGGTTTATTTTGCCGATAGAAGTTAATTACGTCTCGTGATATGTAAACGCAACAGAAGATATATTATATCCACCCAATCCCAAGGACAAACACGACCTCTTACATAATTCCGTCATTGTTTATACTTTACTATTATATGTATATATTATTAACACTACTTCATATTGTGTCATAATAAGCAAATTATTACAGGTAAACCTTTTACCTAACGAATGACTTCTTGCCATTCAATTTTATTAGTATCTATTTTAATTACCTCGAGGCACTTGAACTCAATAATAATGTAAATGTAGGAAATACAATATGTTTTTGTCTTCTTTTTTTATAATATGAAGTGACGGGACGAACAAGTCGTGCAACTGGTGGTAAGCTACACGCCTGTCCATAACAGTTGCAGTGCCACTCAGAGCTTTAAATCGCAAAGATCTGAGGCGCGCTGCCACTGCGCCCTTCACCCTGAGACATAAGTTGATAAGTCCCATGTGGATGTAATTTCACCAGCACCCTTACTCTTCAAAATCAGGACACAGTAACGCTGACATTACTGCTAGCGGCAGAAATAGGTTGTAATATAAATATTAATACAAACTGTATTTGCCTGCACAAACTCTTACACAAGGAGCTCTACTGCTACTAAAATGTTTTAGAATATAATAGAACAGAATAGAATAGAATAGACATTTATTGCAACGCCACAACACAGATACAAAAAAAAATATTGATACCACTTAGACAAGCAAAACAAAACAAAAAGACGTAACTAACAAAATTAAAATAAAATAAAATAAGACAATAACAATATTTTTTTTTTAATATACCAATATTCACGTTATAAATGAGATTCTTTTTCACTCTGTGCATCCATTTTTTTCTAGGACTCTGTTATTGTAAATTTCAAGTTTTTAAACAATGCCACGATGTTTAACTAGTATTTATATTCAATTAATTTTTGTGAAATTGCTCCATCAGTTTGTTATAATTATTAATAACAAAGATCGAACGCTTAGAAAAAATTATTTTGATCCGGCCGGATTCGAACCGACGTCTTCTAGCAAACCTAGACGCTATGACAACTAAGTCACTGATACTTTTTTTTTTTGTTGTGACTGATATTTTTTTTATTTTTAAAGACTTTCTTGTGCCGTAGCGCCGTCTCTAAGAAATGTATTTCTTGACACTGATATTGTTATTGGTATATCTTTTATTCTTTATCGAACTCATCTAATACGTGTCACTAAATCTTTCTCACAATTTTTCCCATATTTTGATATCCAAGGAATTAGTTGGCAACAGCGTATCCAATTTCTAAGACTTTCGCGGTTAACATCATACGTTTAATTCACTACAAGTTAAGCGGTAAATAACCCGTTAAACTACGTTAATAGTCATGGCTGCACAGATATAACTCTAATGAGTAACATTTGGTTAATGTCATTTGCAGACAGCCCCTTACTATAAACTTTGAATCACCACATTTGTGGAAACTGTAGCAAACTAAACTAAACTAAATGCATGCTATCAACTAACTGCTAGTAAAGAAACTCTAGCCTCCTAAGGCCCCGTGTACATTAAAACGGAAATAATTTTGTGAAGTGATTCAGACTCTGATAATATTATTCATATGATCACGTAGACGCCCATTGTATATTAAGAAAAATCCCATTCATTTAGGTCTACATATCATACACACCATAAAATATGTGGAAAAATACGTTTTTCAAAAAAACTGAGGACATCATTCATATATTTAGCACATAATAATGAACATTGGTGGTTTATTAGTGGTTTATTGTAGTTTGCTGGCATTTAGATGGCTAGTGGTTGCTCGTTTTACATATACATTTCTACATTTTAGTAGCAGTAGAGCTCCTTGTGAAAGAGTTCGTCCAAGGAAGTACTGTCACCTTACCTATTTCTGCCGCCAAGCAGTAATGTCAGCATTACTACGTTCCAGTTTTGAAGGGTAAGGGTGCTGGTGAAATTACAAGCACATGGGACTTGTCAACTTATGTCTCAGGGTCACGGGTGCAGTGATAGTGCCCCTCAGATCTTTGCGATTTAAAGATCTGGGTGGCATTGTAACTGTTATGGACAGGCGTGTAGCTTACCATCAGGCGCATGACTTGTTCATCCCGTCACTTGATATTACAAAAAAAAAATTCAAACATCATGGATTCAAGATTACGTGCAAGAGCTAAACGGGGCACTATCACGGATTTTTGTCACCCAACTACGCAGAAGCATAAATAATTTTTACGGATAGGAGACTCAAGATGTTATACCACTTTTTTATAGTAGCAATAGTGCCATCCTTATCATAAACAACATAATCGACATTTTAGAGAAATTGAGTTATTCACATATCTAGAATCAGGGAACAGAGATCGTTAACCTCGTTAGAGCAGTTTTTTAAATCTTATTTAGTTTAAGTTTTATTGTTAAACAATAACAGAGTAATTAACATTATGCAAAGAAAAAATATGAGGTGCCAATATTACGAAAGTTACTAAAATGTAAATGCGTTGTTTATAACAAAGGGTAGAGTAGCTGGGGCTGTGGCACCCAGTATTCTGCATAATCATCATCATCAACCTATTTATAAGTCCCACTGCTGGGCACGGGTCTTCTCTTAGGTGAGAGGCTTAGGCTATAATCTGCCGCTCAAGATGAATGCGGGTTAGGGACTTCACACGTTTTCTTTGACGACGTGCAGATTGCATCACGATGTTTTGCTTTACCGAAAAGCTCATGGTAAATTTAAAATTAAATTTCGCACATAGATTCAGAGTAACTCAGAGGTGCGAGATAGGATTCGAACCCACGGCTTTTGCTTGAGAGGCAGTAAGTCAAACCATTAGGCTACCATGGCTCTTAGTATTCTGCACAAAGAATCAATAATCCGACCATAACTGAAACAACTTGTGCAATTTCACCAAACTAACACTGCTGGTATTAATTAACCCAATTAAGTTTTATGCTCGCAAAAGTTTAAAGTCAGCCTGCCTAGTCTATCTTACTCCATTGTAGTATACTGAAGCGAGTAACCAATTCTAAGTTTCCAAATCTGCGGACTACACTTAAACTCAGTTAAGTACTTTATAAAGTCCAAATTGGCAAAACTGGCTTAGCATTGTGAGAGTCAAATAACTTTGCCTTAGAATTATTTATTGAACGAAACTATGACTTTGAAAATTGTTGAGAGATTAGTGTAAATTACCGAATAATTAAGGTTTGGGTTTGAAAAACGAAGAGACTTGAAACGTTACATGATTAGCAATATAAGACATTGTACAGGCCGCAACAAAACGATATAATGTTACTTTGAGCTATGAAAATTTCTATACGACACAATTAAAGCCACTAACCATAAAAAAATACTTTGTACACCTGCGGTTTCTGCAACATAAAAAAAAATTATGACAAAACTTTTTTAAAGAACAAAGTACTGGTACCTTTTTGTTGCAACCTGTATATCTATATAAATATACATGTCGACACTGGAAAGGCAAAACGTCTAACGTGCATTTGGAAAATATTACAGGAAAGCATTTAAGGTAATTTTTAAATAAAGAAAATCATAACGCTAATTTTATTTGTTGCAAGCTGAAAGTTTCTAGTTTTCAACATCAAATTTGGTGGTAAAACATTCTGACATTCAAAAAACTGAGAAGTAGTAGAGCTCTTTGTGAAATAGTTCGTCCAGGGAAGTACTGCCACCTTACCTATTTCTGCCGCCAAGCAATAATGTGAGCATTACTGTGTTCCGATTTTGAAGAGTTAAGGGTACTGGTGAAATTAGTAATATGAATTATTATTAATTAGGCACGTGGGACTTGTCAACTTATGTCGCATGGTGATGAGCGCAGTTATGGACAGGCGTGTAGCTTACGATTGGGCGCACGACTTATTCGTCCCCTTGATATTATAAATAAAAGAAACTTAATTACAAATAAAATTATAGTTGTTATTATTTTTTTCTTCAAAAAACTCTCCTGTAATATTTTCGAAATACACGTTAGACGTTTTACCATTCCAGTGTCGATATATTGCATACTTTTTAAATTAGATTCATAGCTGGACATCTAGTTTTCTTTTATCTACTACGATCGATCCACTTTCACAAACGTGGTGATTGTGGTAATTCCACTGTTTTAGAGCTCTCATTTCAATAATAAAAAACTATTGAATGGAATAAATGATAAAATGTAAAATTTTTGAAAAATTAAAGTTGCCAAAACGGAGACGTAACATATTTATTATACCAAACTGTCTACGTGTTTTCCCCAGATTTTTGTCTTTAGTTTGTCTCAGTATTTCTATGAATTTGTATGACGTGGTATTGAATAGAGAAATTTCATATTGAATATTTTATACTCAGTGATAAAAGGAAGATTTGGACTGCCCAGTTGTAACCCCTAAAAGTGGTTACACACGGCGACCTTTAGCAGCGAGGCACACTTGCGATTTATAGGCGATTGTATCGATGCAAACGCGCGACTGCATCGATAGTTTCTTATATTGAATAATTATATACGAAAAATCTGTGTAGGTTTATGCACATTATTTTGTTTTGTTAATTGTAAATTGAAAAGTGTAATAATAATAAATAAATTGTAAATTTAAAAGTGAAATTAAT